TTTTTTTTGGGGGGGGGGGGGGTGCGATTTGCATTGGTAAGTTTACAGAAAAGTAGAAGTCTTGAGTGAGTGAAAATTGCCTATTGTATTTATGTTTGTAAGGTTGATAAAACCTGGGAATTTTCACTGAGTTTGTTTTGTAGCTTGCTTAGTCGGTTGGTAAAAGTTTTTATTTGGTCCTTAGGTCATTGAGTATAGCAATATAGCTTCATTGGGAAATTGACATTTGCATATGATGTCAATCTGCATCTCTTTGAATTGTGCTTTCATTTCCAAGTTATGCATTCTGTATGTTCCACCTTATGAAGATCGATGTGGTAACAATTCATGAGTTGTTAGTCTGTTTCCATTAGTTGCATATGGATTGTTAGATTGATCCAAGTTGATATAGAGCATTTGGTTTGTAGGGTGACATATTCAGCTCATCTTGACATGGCAGGCCAGAGGAATAACTTTGGGAAGAGAATGCAATCGGAATCTGACTATACTAGGAATGACGGAAGTAAGAGAAGGAATCCAACTGATGAAAAAGAATCAAATTCCATTGGTCCAGAGGATACTGTTTTTCGTTATTTGTGCCCCACAGGAAAAATCGGAAGTATCATTGGAGTTGGTGGGGACATTGCAAAACAATTAAGGACTGAAACTAATTCAAAGATTAGGATAAGCGAGACCATTCCTGGCTGCGAGGAGCGTGTGGTAACTATTTATAGCGCAAGTGAAGAAACTAATGTCTATGAAGATACTGGTGATCTGATTTCACCTGCTCAAGATGCTCTATTGAAGGTGCATGACCGAGTCTTTGCTGAAGAACTGCGTATGGAAGAAGACCTAGAGGATCCTCAGCAGATTACGATAAGAATGCTTGTCCCATCAGATCAAATAGGTTGTGTGATAGGGAAAGGTGGGCAAGTAATCCAGAATATGCGCAGTGAAACAGGCGCACAAATTCGGGTATTAAGCAGTGAGCACTTGCCGCCTTGTGCCTTAAGCTCCGATGAACTTATCCAGGTACCAAAGTTCTATCTCATCTATTAATTTTTCTGAGATCACTATAAGCATTACATTGTGCATGTACTGCAGAGAACTGAAATATGTAGGGCATGTATGGTTTACTTTACTTGAAGTAATTTCATCAGCATTTTGAATGTGAGCACTTTCCTTAATCATAATTGATTTGGTTATCTAATAAGAATATCAGGTGTTCTGATCTATGACAAGATAATACTCTATGCCAAAATAAAATAGTAGCTAGAAACAAAGGTTTTGATTTTCCAGCCGTGGTCTGTAGCAATGAAGAGGTTGTGAGTTCGAGTCACCCCAAGAGCAAGGTGGGGAGTTCTTGGAGGGAGGAAGCCGATGGTCTATCGGAAACAGCCTCTCTACCCTGGCCTCTCTACCCCAGGGTAGAGGTAAGGTCTGCGTACACACTACCCTCCCCAGACCCCACTAGTAGGATTATACTGGGTTGTTGTTGTTGTTGTTGTTGTTGTTGTTGTTGGTGGTGGTGGTGGTGGTGGTGGTGGTGGTCTGTAGCAATGAAGAGGACTGCCTATACGTGATAAAAAAAATGAAGAGAATGTTTGTATGCTAGCTGATTGCCTGGTCGAGCTTGTCAACCGGCTTATACACATGCTATTCCCACTCTTCTCCCAAAGATTCTGGATTTCCTCAGTTTTTAATTTATTTTGAGCTCTTTATTTTTTGGTTTGGTTATGTGGAACATCCACGGCATTTCTGATAGGTTGGGGACAACAGTCTTCTTAATTTTTCTACGTCCGGCGGATAGTTCAAATAACATAGGTTCATTTCTCACCGTTTCTTGAAAACAACAACAACATAGCTTTAGATGGCACACATAGAGGATTACTGAGGCCTAGCTTTTACTTTTATAGTGGGCTGAGAGTTCTGCGCTTTCTAATCAAATAAGGGATCATACCAGTCCTGGAGCCCTCTTACATATTCTAAAACTTTCCAAGGTCTGCCTCATGGCATCCACATTGAAAGAGACAGAGTGATCAAGTATGGTCGTCCTTTGCTGGAATTTGCTATTAAACCTAAATTGGGTTTATATGTGGTGGAACGTCGTCCACATTTTAGATTGTTCAGGACTTAGTTTTCTATGTTTGATAGGGAACGCAAGTTGCACATGTAGATGATAAAATGAGAGTTTCATCCAAGATAGTCTGTTCATGTCTTACATAGATGCATCGATCTATAGCTGCATCACTTTGATTTTTGATGATTGAAGGTGCTTAAAGGGAGTGACATAGACCTAAAATTACAGAGGTGTAAGTTGTTTCAAATGATTTGAAACTTGTAGACTTGGTGCAGACTTAGCTAAGAAGAAAATGTGATGTAGCAAGGATCCATACAGGTGATACAACTAGTTGGAGTTATGGCATGATTGCTGTTATATTTATGTTATGTCTGCTGCCTTATTAAAAAAGAAGAAGAAAAAAGAGTCTACTGTCTGCGAAGAGTCCTTTTTAGTCTGCTCACGGATTGCATGTTAGTTTTTTAGTGTGAGTTCTGGAAAACTCCTAATTTGCCTTAAAAGATCATCCTCAAATGAGTAAAATGAGTCCATAGAGTGGAATGGTTATAAAGGATTCGTGCATCAGTTGTCTAGTTTGGGATTGAGGGGTAGTTGATTTGTGTGAAGTATAGCAGGGGAAGAGCAGAAACTTAAAACATGATCAGTTTGTTTCTCTAATAGCTGTTTTATTATCTGTTTGCTATATCCATTTTTGTGGGGTATCCATAGATGAATGGTGCTAAAAAGTAAAAACACTAAGAGGAATAATGACAGAAATCAACTTAGAACCGATTGTTGAGTGAGCAACTGCTGTATTCAAGTATTTATTTGCAAATTTCAGAATATGCTGTCAAACTTAATCTGATGCTTATTTCTGCTTATACAAATACGTAAATGATGTGCTAAGCGATGCTTCTTTTATTTTCAGATAACTGGAGAAGGTGCAGTTGTTAAGAAAGCACTTTATCAAGTAGCAGCGCGCCTCCGTGATAATCCATCACGGTCCCAACATCAATTGCTGTCGTCGCCCAGCATATATAGGTCTGGTGCTGGACTTGTTAATCCTCATGCGGGTCCCCAAGTCATGGGCATGACATCATTGATGGGTCCTTATGGGAGTTACAAAAGTGATGGTAGAAGTCGATCTGCTTCTGTAAAGGAGTTTGCAGTTCGTTTGGTTTGTCCAACTGAAAATATAGGAGCTGTAATTGGCAAAGGTGGAAGCATTATCAAACAGCTAAGACAGGAATCAGGTGCATCTATTAAAGTCGATAGTGCTGCAGCTGAAGGAGATGATTGCATTATATTTGTATCAGCTAAGGAGGTGATCCACATTTTTTAGTTATTAAATTAATTATTTGATGGCTAGGACTGAGAATGCCTGTCCGCAGCGTTTGTTGCTTATCCAATTGTGATCTCAGGCATATGAAGATCAATCCCCAACCATTGATGCAATAATGCGCTTGCAACCAAGAAGTAGTGAGAAAACTGAAAAAGATTCTGGTGATGCTATTCTGACGACTCGCCTGCTTGTACCTAGCTCACGAGTTGGATGCCTAATCGGTAAAGGTGGTTCCATTGTCAATGAGATGCGAAATACCACAAGGGCGAGCATCCGCATTCTTTCGAAGGAAAATCTTCCTAAAGTGGCATCTGAAGATGACGAGATGGTGCAGGTAAATGGTTTTTCCTTTTTGGTAATTTTTAAAAAACCCTTGCTTTGTTTACCTCAAAAGAGTTCCTAGGTCGGGGGTGATGTTTGGTTAGGGTGTGCTTTTGATGCAGAAATTGTTATGTCATGTTGTTATTTTTTCTCCTCCAGATAACTGGAGATGTTAATGTTGCTGCCAATGCGTTATTACAAGTACTTATGCGGTTGAGGGCCAATATATTTGAGATGGAGGGAAGTTTTGCTGCATTTTCTCCTCCTGTTTCTTACCTCCCCTTGTCTCCAAGCATGTCAGATGGTTCAAGATATGCAAACCGTGATAATAAATCACGTCGGCATGGTTATTCATCATATTCTGGTGGACATGATTATAATGATTCGTCTCCAAGTGATAGTTATGGCGGTTCACAGGTAAATCCCCAGTGTTCATCTTTAAGAAGTTAGTTTGGCTTTATCTCATTTTTACAGGTCAGCGTTAGATTATCTTGTTCTGTTCCTATTTTCATTGATGATTTTCTGTATTTCTATCTATTTGGTGTTATCTTTGTATAGCAAAAATATGTCGGGATTAGTAGATCTAAATTCATTTTTTCAGGTTGGTGGTGGAGGTGGTTATGCACCATATGGCGTTTATTCCTCTGGGCGATCTAGTAGTGCAGGGTAAAGCATTCTTTGATTACATGCTTTGGCATCCAGGCTATCTGTCCTGCCTATAGCTGTTACAGCATCTTTCACTTTCTATAAAAAGCTGTTGTTATTTACCTTTTTTTTTTTTTTTTAATTTTACCAGGGTTTCCAGCCATAACTCTTCTGCCTATGGTAAATCCTACGGATACTAGGTTGAGCACATGGAGGTACAGAATTTTCTCCTTTATTTTCTGTGTCATACATAGTCAATTGGATTCTCTATTCTGTACTTCACTATAACCTCAAGCACATCTTCCTATTGCTTACGTCAACTAGCCTGAAGCCTGTGCTGTCACTAATACTCTTTCTTTACTTTGCCTTTTCCCACTTGCCATTTAAACAGCTACAATCTCCGATGCCTGATTCCAGCCTATTGCCCCTTTTGATGATGCCTCCAGCCTAAGAACAGAAGACCAGACGAACAAGATAGAGTAACTTATGGCCATCCGTTCCCTAGTATTTCTGTTTCTTAGGTGTTACCAGCACAGATATTGTATGAAACGATGCTTCTTGGCCATTGAAGGCCTTGTACCCAATAATACCTCTGCTTTAGTGGATCTGTGTAGCAGACTAAGTCATGACAGTTCTCCTTTATATTTTTTGTTTGTTTTGTGTTTTGTAAAACTTTTGTGAAGTGGTGGTATCATTTTTTCTGTTTTACTATTGACCAGTTTTCTACAGGGTTGAACATTCTATCATTTTCTCTTGCATCAAATTTTTCATGTTTTTTTGACAGCTTTTTAATTATTGAACCAAAGTTCAAGAAAGTCAGGTTTCCGCATTTCAGGAGGTAAAATGTAATCAGTCATCTCATACTTATCAATCCCTTGTCTGCTTTTGCTTGTAGTAATCTCGCTTAGTTTGGCATGATTCCCACTGTTGGGTTCAATCCTTGTGAATGAAGCCCTTCTTAGTTGCTTACACGCATCTAAGAGCTTTTAAGAGATAAATCAATAGTTAATTATGATCAAAATTCTTGTTCAACTTTGCATGTTATAATATATTCTGAGAAGGCAGATTTCTATCGAAGCCGTGTTAATTTTCTTATCTTGCTTCTCCAGGGTAAAAGGTACTTTTTATTCCTTTTCAGGTTGGTGAGTAGGCGTGAATATGCTTTCAGACATGTATGTGATAAGTGTGCGTGTCTTTATCTTGTTAATATTTTTGCTCCTTTGGCCTGAAGGAAATGATGATGTTCATCACAATTTCATGTCTGATTATTTGGTGTAATTTATTCTGCAGGATCGATAGATAATTTAGTTCTCATGCTAAATTCCTATGAGGTAAGTAATTTTCTCTTTTGCAAATGCTAATTTTTTCATTGATCTGGAAACTAGAGAGCAAGAACTCAACATGAGACAGATTTTAAGATTTTGGTAGAAAACGTACACATACATGTCAAATATTTGAGGAGGAAAGAAGCCGGTGGTATTGTGCTTAGCCAGTAAACATCATCCTTGTACTGGCAAGAGAGGCGTCTTAGCCCATTATGACAAAGGGAGATTACTTTTGATGGAAAAACATGACATCTTGATTAGACCAGTATTAGTTATGATATGGAACCATATCACATGTGCGCCCCCCATTTTTTTTTCTGTTTTTCTTTCCCTTTTGGGGGCTTTATATGAAGCCCCATATCTGGGCTGTGGTGACTTTACAGTTGTGGGATAACTGGGATTCCATGTCTAAGTTGTTTTTTTTAATTAGCTATTATTTATTCTTTGAGCATGGATTGTGTGTGGAGAAAAATGGGGTTTGCTTTATGATATACAGTAGATTTATTTGTTGCATTCTTTTTGCTTCCCGGTGCTAATTTAGAACTCTACACCAAACTTTCTAAGCTGATCCAATTTCTTTTCTTTTCTGGAATTCATGCTCCATTAACAAGGTTATTTTTAGTCTGCTGTTTGCATGCCGTGTTAAATTCTATCTGGGACGCTCTGCCGGTAGGGCGGTGTGTGCATTTTTGCCCAAAAGATGTGATGTTTCACCCTATCTCAAAGTGGTCTAAAAGTTTGCTAGCACACAAGCATGAAGCAAGTGATTGTTATGTGTTGTTGTACTAGTGACTGCACATCTGAGGCTTAAGTTTCTTTATGACTTTCAATTGGATTGCTGGTGTTTTCATCTTCAGAAGTTTAAAAATTCCACAAGTGCGATGGATTCTGTTGGCTTAAGGTGAGAAAGGATGTTGTCGATTTGTATAAAGCATATATACAAATTGTTCTAAGAAAACTTGAATTCAAATTGGAAGGCAGGACAGGGTTCACCCATTGAATAGGCAACTTTTGTGGCCATTTAAAGCATTCTTCTATTTGACTTGCTGCAGAGTAAATACACAAACATATTAGTTACTAGGTATTAAATCATTTAAAAGACAACAACAGGTCTCGTTCGACTATTCCAGTGCACTGAATGGTCGTCGTGTGTGCAAATCAGTTTGGGCACCACTAACATCTTTTCTAAAAAAGACGGGAGCGGTTCAGAAGCTCAAGAGTATCATTAATCAAGACTTTGCTCGCCAAAAAAATAGAGTTGCCAAAAGTTCAGTTCTAGAAAGGAATTGTGTTTGCTGAAGTGGTGTTCAATTGAATTTTATACTTCTTGGGGTTCAAGTGTTATACCATTTGTTTGAGGCAAGCAAGTTCGTGTTACATTTTTTATCATGTTACCTTGTTTAACTACAAGATAATAGGATCTTTTCCTACTACTAGTAACAAGTTCTAGGGCCACAAGCACTGGCGGAGGCAAGTTTTTTCACCAAGGGGTTTCATAAAATAAAAGAAACACGCAAAAAAATTAAAGTTAATATATATATAAAAAGAATTTTACCATACATACACAACTGCGATTTTCCAGTTGCGCTAAACATACATTTTTGGGTTAAAAACGAAAATTCGGGTATATTGGCAAAAAAAGTAGATCATAAATATGAAGTACAATATAATGTACCAAAAAGGTGAAAACATAATACTGCAAAAGAAATTATGTTTTCAAGATTCATTACCATGATGATCTAGAATTTTACCACCAAAAAGTATAATACATCACCATCACCATTCTGAGAATAGCACAGGCAGATGAGAAATGATCGTTCTTGTGAAAAGAACTTTGCACGTAGTTTTCCGAATATTTATGCAAGCAAATCAGCTTAGTATAGGACCACAACTCTAAAACTCGGTACAAAATTTTGGCATGAGAGCATTTATTCTTTCTTTTCTTCTTTTTACCTCTAGCCAGATTTACAATACCAGTTTTAGTTAATTCAACAGGAATCTATGATGAGGCTGCTCCGAATGTCTCGGCTTTGGTGCTTCTGATTCTAAGAATTATTCTCACCGTCGCCTGCTAGTGTTCCGCTCTGGTCATCTAGCTGGTCAGAGCCGTTGTTGCTACCATCTGCAGCCAAATTTTAAACGTGTATAGGTCAAGAGACAAAGGACTCGAGTTTAGCTCCAATACAGGAAATGGATTTTATGTACATACCTTCACCGGCATCTGTCAGAGAAGAAGCTGAGAGCCGAGTACGAAGTTGCTGGTGTGGCGTAGGCTGTTATCAAAGAATATATAAGTAATGCTATCTTTTTGTTTGATAGTCGAATACAAATCGAGCATACAGCAACTTGGAGCAGGGTGTGTACTTGTATTTGTTGCTATTTATTAGATAGGTTTCTGTAGCCATGTTGTGGTTGGATTTAACTTCCTTATCTATGTCTACTTCAGGATTTAGTTCGAATATATAAAGGAAGATACAACTTTTCCTACTGAAACAAATAGTCAGCACATTGTTTCTCAAGGCTAGATCCAAAAGTTTTGGAGTAAGTTGGCCATTGATCTGTTTAATTCCAGCCCAAGTTGTAATCTAACGAATCTAATATGACAAAGGCAGAAAAAACTAAAAAAGACCAAGTATGTATTCAGACCGACAATAAAATTGGAAATGTGTTTCCAAAGTAACAGGGTAATGCACCTCCAATTTTGGGCGAAGTGCCTCAGCAGGCGTTTTGGGCTTCTGTCCCCCTTGCTGAAAGATAACGTAAAACGAAAGAACATGGTATAAGACGATCAAACTTCAGCATTGAACTTTAGCTAAAGATCGAACAGCCAAAAGTTAGGCTAGAGCTGAGTACCTTTCCTAATGCCCAGTCCGCAGAATCAAAGAAAGCACGTTCATGGTCCTTGAAAATGTAAAAGAGGTTGATAGAAAATTGAATGAGGACAAGAATTGAAGTAAAACTTAAAATACAAAGATAAAAAAGAATTTGAGATACCAAAAAATTGAACTAAAACTTACCTTAGATATCAATGGAGGTTTCTTTTTCACCAAGCCACCATACTTCTTCTTCAGTTCCTCCTGGATATATTTAACAAGGAAAAGAATTATGCCCCGAATCTCAAGGAAAAGTTGGCAGAGTATGGTAAATGTTTCAACTTTTTGCAGTTAAACAAATTTCGAAGTCACTTTCTCTAAACTGTTCATCGACCTACACAATCTTCCTCAAATACCCTTATAGGCTTATAGATGGATACTAGTCTTATGAACGCAATTTCATTCACACGGTTTTATGGCACAGAAAAAAGAAACAAAGTATATGGGGATTGTTCCAAAAGATCTTCGGATGCAAAAATGTATTCCTCAATCCCTATCACTTTAAAATATGCTGCATCAGTGATAGGCATTTTAAATGGTTTGAACTCCAAATGAAAGAAGTAAATAGGGATCATTCTAGAAAATCTTTTGGTGCAAAAATGTATTCCCTTATCCCTATCACTTTAACGTATGCTTCATGATTGACTAGTATTATAAAAGCTCTGAGCTGCAAATGAAAGAACAAAGTAGATAGATTTTTCTTAACAAAAAACTTTTGGTGCAAACTTGTATTCCTGAATCCCTGTCGCTTTAACATAAGCTTCAGTATTGACTAGTATCGTAAAAGCTTTGAGCAAATGGAACCAATTAAGTGTAGAAACCGCATATGCCAATGTGTACCTCCTCCTCTTGAGATGGAACTTGGTTTTCTTCTACTTCTGAACCCTTTGGATCTTCACCTTTAGGAGGATCATTAATAACGTTTGGTTCCTTCACACTTTCATCTGCGCTTGGGTTTGACATATTGCACGCTTTTTTCTGCAAAAATATAGCTGGTTTATTATCACCCATAGGCCATAGCTAAGTCAAGCAGACACAGCTGCTCGCTACTCTTCTGGATTATGAACTCTTTGCTTGAAACATTTTAATGGATGCCATGACAAGCAAAGCCAAAATATTGGTCATCTTCCAGTTAAATTTTGAAATTCAAGGTAATCTCTTAAATCTAAACTGAATGCAAAAACTTTCGATTGACCCACATATCAGAAAATGACCGTAAATAGAGGTAGGCAGAAACAAATAAATGGATGTAAAATCAATAAGTCATGAATCATTGTATATGTAATCTTAGGTACCAAACGCAAAACCAAAAGTCAACAATATAGTGCCCTTGATAACACAAAGCTCAATATAAATGCTTTTAAAGGATCAAGAACACAAGAATCTAAAAGCATATGTAGTCTGAGGTAACAAATTCAAAACCAACAGTCGTACATACCAATCCACTGCCCTGGAGTAAGCTGGATAACATAAAGCTCCGTATAAATGCTTTTGATCTTTAATCAAATTAATGGCTAACACACCCATGTTGCGTGTTCTACCAAGATACCACATTCTGTGGTAGCTCTACATAAATGCTTAAAGGATCTAGAGCAGAAGAAACTAAAAATCATAGATTACAAAAACCAATTTCAGTCTACATCTTTTTTTTTCTTTTAACTGTGGTGTTCGGGTCAGCTTGTGCGCATCTCGACTAATTCCATGGGATATCTGCTATCTCCCACCAACAATGGTAATTATGTCTACCAAGGCTTGAACAGACGGGGGAAATCGCCTAGTTTTTTGCATCCGTTGGGATTTAAACCCAAGACTTCATGGTTCTCAACCTACTTCATTGACCATTAGGCTACACCCTTGGGTGCTTCAATCTACAAACTTCTTTTCTTTTGGGATAATTTAGTAAATCCCGAGGGCTAGTGGCACACAGTTCAAATCACGATGGATAATGGACCCCCTTACCCTTCTCCACTTACATACCATACTTTTGTCTGCAGCAAATTCGGACCCCCTAACGTGCCTAACCCACACATCACACATTGTGCTCTTACCGCTAGACCAAAGCCCTAGGGGCCACCAATGTACATACTTAAATCCAACATCAATGGATATCCAATCGACTTAATCAATACAAAATAAACTGAAGAGTTGAATCACTGCTCATGACCAAGAAAAGAAAGAGTTCCTTTAGAGAAAAAGGAAGAAAAACATATCTTAAGACAAAAATAATTTAGATATTCCTATTAGTCTATAATGTCAGTTTCTAGTTTGATATGTTGGCTAGATACCCTACAAAAATAACAGTTTTACACAGCTGAATGAATTATTCAATTGATTATAAATTTCATGATTTCAAGCTTTATCATTTTTTTTCTTTTTTCGAGATATCAATTTACACAGATTATTATACTATATCAAGGAGCCAAGCTAATAAACATGCAAGAGAAGCAAAAGAAGGGGAAAACTATGTTATAAATTCCCAGTTCAAGAAACATGAAATGTAATGCATAGATTCAGTAATTCACATCAATTTAAGCACCAAATCAATCATTACAATTTTTCATAGTCAAATTTGAATCATTACTAAAATCCCAACCTAACCCATAACAGAAAAGTAGATTATCAAATGATAAGTTAAAATACAGAAAAAAAATTCAATCTCGATAGAAGCCCAATAAGCAATACATATTGAATATTGCCACCTTTTAAGAAAATAAAATAGAAAGCATGGAACCGAGAAAATCAGTTTCTTGATATGGAAAAAGAATAAAGAATAAGGAGAAGAAGAAAAAGAAGCGTACCTGGAATCTGAAGTGAAGGTGGGTGGAAACCGATGAGTTATACCAGAAATATGGAACAGAAAGAAGACAGCAAATAAACTGGAATATGGAAAAAAAAAAAAGAAAAAAAAAGAGGTTGCGTCTTCATTCCACAGGAGAATATGGGCCTCCTCATATTGACAGGTGTTTTGGGCTTGGGTTGTCTCTCGGCATATGGTTGGGCTTTATTGTTTAACTTCATTTGGATTTTCCGCACATACTATTTAATTACCACTTATAAATCTAATTATTTTTGAATTTCGCCCCAGCTCATAGCCCAATTATTGAGATCCGCTAAAATGGTGAAAATGACACCAACTGCTACTTTTAAGCATGATATTTAAAATATATTGACAGTTCATAATATATTTAAGATTAGCCAATTCGCTCAATCTTTGGTACCCAACATCCTGAAGTTTAAATCTCAAAGTTCAAATTTCAGGACATTGTGTCATAACGTTCGAAAATTGTATCCAGAAATTCAAATCTTATGTCATCAATTTTATATTATCAGTTCAAAAATTCAGGATACTTAGTCCTGAATTTCAAATTAGCACCTAAAAAATTCAAGACACTAAGTCCTGATTTCCAAATTAGCAGCTTAAAAATTCAGGATAGTTCCTGCAGTTTAGGTGAATTGGCTAATCTTTAAATACATTATAAATTGTGGATATATTTTAAATCTCAGGTTTAAAAGTGGCTACTGGTGCACTTCGCACGCTAAAATGGGATGATTTACACGAATAGGATCGTTTAAGGCCACTATTTAAATTTTATCTCCGTTTAAGAAAATTATAAAAAATAGCCTCATGGATCATAACTTTCATAAGCGGGTGAAGAATGTAAAGTTAAGCTTTCACAAATTATGTTGTGCAGGTCATAACTTTGGTACAAATTGTTCACAAGTTCGGTTGGATAGACAAAACTTACCTTGTACATGAAGAGATCACAATACTTCTTTATCTTTTAAGTTGTTCTACCATGTTTTTGAAATTAAATTATTGGTGTATTCATTTGTTTCTTACAATCTTTAGGCAGGGAGAAGTGTTATTATTTGTTACGAAATTTTGGCACATTCCGATAAGATTATCTTTTTGTATCCTTGAATACAACATTAATTATGTGTGAATGAGCAGTAAAATATTGTTTTGTATCAACATTAAACAGACAAACATAAAGTAATATACAAAAATAGAAGTTGAAAAAACGAAGTGCTTCCTAATAATTTCTGAAAATAAGATGATTCAGTGTCCATCGCTATCTCTGATATACAGAGGCGGACCCAGGATTTAAGCATAACGGGGACACCATTATCTTTAGTATCCCAATCACCAGCGATAAAGTTCGGGTGCAACTCTTTGAAATGACTATGATAATTTATGATCAAAATAAAAACATCAATATTATCAAATACCATTAACTTGATACTAATATAACAAAAGTACATTGTCCACTCATAGTTGAACTCGACGCGCTTTTATATTTTGAAAACGGTCAATAATAGTATCATTGCTTATATTTACAAATACTTCCTTCTCAAAGTAACAAACTAACAATCATTTAAAAATGCATCACTAATACTACTACGCAATTCATCTTTGACGTACTTCATGGATGAGAATGCTCTTTCTACCGTTGTAGTTACGACAGGTAAAATTAAAGTCAATTTTACAAGCAAATAAATAAGTGAATAAGTCTCTACAAGATTTGCCTCAACCAATGCTTTTGCCAAATCACCAATTCCTTTCAAATCAGAGAACCTAGGGTCACCATGTTGCATGTGCCATATGAAAGTGTCAAGTTGGCGACTAAGATCTCGAAGCTTCAATTCACCAAATTCATCGGGATAATGCTTGGCCAATATCATTATTCTTTCCTTATCAAAATTAGCAAATGAGTTAGCCGGATTCAAGCTAGCCATACCAAGAAGCAAGTTACTACTCACAACATCAAAACGAAGTTGTAAATCAATCACTGCATAAAAAAGCTCAACACGTAAGTGATGTGAATAAGTAACACTAGAAGGCCTACGCTTCGACTTTCCAGGAATATAGAATTCTTCCATCTTGGGTACCAAAATATCATGTTTTGCACAAAATGAAGATACTTCATCCATCAATGGTTCCTTTCCTTCATGTTTTGCACACTAGAAGGCCTATGCTTAGAAAATTTGTGATAAACTGGTTGGCAAGGCCCTCTTTGGATGTATTGTTCTCTTACTTCATCCCGTATTCTGGAGCTATACCTATCAATGGGTATTCTCTCTCTGGGGTCAGAATTAAGTGATTTCACATCAAACTCCTCTACAAGATGGGAGGAATTGTCTCTAAAACTAGAACTTGATTGAGAAGAATTAAACCTCGTCAAAAATATGTCCATCTCAATTCACATCAACAAAACTTCCTACAAAGAAACAATGCCAAGCAAAACAACATTTTAAATATGATTAGTCACACTCTTTATATTAATACTAGAATAGAAATAACATATAATAGAGGAATCACACCTCTATATTTTATTATAAGTCATAACTTATAACTATATTATTATTATCTTAAAGATAGAAGAAACACTTACCAATTTGTGAAAGGTATCCTTGAAATCCAAATACAACTTGGCTTCAAATCATCTACTTCACTGAAATAATATTTCAAATAACATTAGCACAAAATCTTCAAATACCTATGAAATTAATTTATTAAGATAAAAGAATTAGGACACCAACTAAAGATTTAACATCATGTAAATGTGCACCATAATTGTTGACTGCTCAAACAATGAATTAAAAAACTAAAAGAATAGTAGCGAATTCAAAAACTAAAAGAAGTGTAAGCACATATTTTTTGACCCGCACAACTTTTAAAAGCAGTAATTTAAAAATATTTACTTATTTTCATTTTAATAGAATTTCAGTCAACTTTTAATTTTTAAATAGTTTTATAATATTTCTTCTCTTATTATATATCTTTTTATTTTTATCCTTTTTGTTTTAAATTTATTTAAGCTTATTAGTATTTTATAATGATAATATTTTAATTTTTACCATTACTTTAACATAGTTTTCTCTACCTTTTTTATAACATTTAAACAATATCAAAAATATTTTTATTTTAATATATAGTTCACTCTAATAGTTTATTCTTATTAACTTAGATTAATTAGTATATTTTGGTAGTATTTTTTATTTTTGTTCATTGAGAAAGAATGGAATTTGGGCCAATTAGGAGCTCATTTTCGGATTTTAGTGACCCAGCAAGACAAAAGCCAATTCTTCCCAACCCATTAGCCAACTCTCCACTTAAAATGTAAGATTTAATCTTAGCCATCTATTTCTCTCTAATCCAATGGCCATCATCCCTTCCCACCTCCACAGAAAATATCCAATTATGAAAACCCTACGGGAATTTCTCTAAGCTAAGAGCCGCAGTTACCATTCTTAAAGAGGCCACTCGTCATCTCCCTCACCGAGCAGCCGCAACTCACTCCATTTTCGAGGCTTCCCATAGCATGCTTACTGATCGCTGTGGCAATTTCATAAATCTCTCCTGGCTTAAGGTTATTCAAATAACTTCATCACATAACACAAACAATCACAAAAACTTATGATTTCTCCTATTAGCCATGCCAGGCAACCAATTTGTCAACACACCGACATACAGAAAGGGTGACGAGATGAAATAGAGGCGTCTGAGGGGAATTCTTAAAAACTGATCGCTGCTCCTTCTTCTGTTTCAACAAAAACTCCCTCCTCTCAAAACTCTTACCTTTGACATTACAGTGACAAAAAGCCACCTCCGATTCTATAACAAAGAAATGACCAATACTAATTTTTCGGCAATTTCAACTTTTACGGCTGCTTCCGATACTGTTGAAGAAGACGCCAGGCCGATTTCGCTGCCATTTCTGAAAATTCGGAAAAGGAAATATATAAAATATTCTAGTTTCTTCTTTCGAATTTTGGTTCTAAAAATGGAGGTCATCCGAGGTCGCATTTGATTCGAGTTTTCCGGCGAGTTTCGAGGTCGTCGAAGGTCGTAGTCTGAGCTTTTCGGTGCCGATTCGAGTTTTCGTCCGTGGTTTGTTACATTTTTGAGTTCAAAGCAGTGGAACAATCAATTTCCAGCTACATTGAGGTCCATTTCGTTTTCCTTTACACAGTTATTTGAATATTCCTGAGTGAATTTCTGGCTTAATTTGGTTTGACATGCTTTAGTTGTTTCGTTCACTAGTCTATTTTTTTTTAAGTTAGTTTCTTTAGATGTTTCGTTCACTAGTTTATTTGAAATTGGTTTGATGACTTTCTGAGAATATTGAGTTGCTTGCTGTATCTTTTGTGGATTATTAATTGTTCAGTAAAGTTGAATTAGGTAGAACAAAGACTAACATGCAGTGGAGGTTTGGTACATAATTAAAGAGAATTGGGTTTAATATGATATGTTTGATTTCTGCTTCGTTACTACTAGTTTCGTTAATGCTAGGATCATGTTAGGCCGACAACACTGGGGTAGGTAAACCTTTAGGATGTTCGTGTTTTAATTTCGTTTGAGGTGAGAGGTCACCCCCTTAGTCAATTAATTCATCAGGGGAACGCCCCGTAGAGTTTGTATATATTTTTAATACTCTTTTATCCGGGGAATGCCCCGAAGTGAATGTAAACGGAAGCCGAGGCTAGATCGTGGAAGAAGCACAGTCTAGGATAGATTAGAACTCTTAGCATATTTCCTCTTAGCACTTTCTTTTCTTTTCTCTTATTTTTCTTTTATTAGATGGGGACGACCTCAAGCCTCTTTTGTGTTTATTTTCTTTTTATGTGTTTTGTCCTCAATTCGAATATTTTAAAAGCCGACTTGATCACGTACGCAACCGTGACCTTCACGGGACTCGGGGAATGCCTAACACCTTTTTCCCGAGTCAAATGAACCCCCTTATCTAGAATTTCTGGTGCAGTCAGTTTTAGAGTCAAACATGTTTTGAAAGAAAAATTATTTTTAAACGGTGACCTGTCACACCGAAACCAAATGCTAGGTGGCAACTCTGCTGGGGAGTTGCAAGTTCAGCTGGTACTCGATCTTGTTGGCTTTTTAGAATATTCGATTGAGGTGTTTGTTTTCATTATTTTCTTTGTTTATTTGGTTTGTTTGTTTTATTTCCTGTTTTTTGTTGTTTATTTGTTTATCACTTTTTTCTTATGTGTTTACTGCTTTATAACTGTCATCATTTGCATAACCATGGGTCTTTTTTCCGCAACAAGTCTTCTGGAGTACGTTTGAGCGTACACGGCCTTTTGTGAGTCACCCGTGTCTTTAGGGGGTGACGTGGGAGCGTGGAGTGAGCGGACAGCTAGAGTAGCCGCTATCGACCAAGTGCCGCCCCGAATTGCCTTGTCTAGTGAACCCCAAATGTAGGTTAGCTTTTCAGTCATGCTTATTCGCATCATGTTATTTAGACCTAGCAGGGCTCGGTCCCAGGCACCGTGTCCCTTTGTAGGAGGCCTATCCAAATTATGTCAATACGGGCCCATGGCCCAAAAAGGCTTTTAATCATCCCTATGTGCTACATGTTATTTTCTTTAAGGGTGAAGGGGTTATTTGGTGGACCAGTGAGAAAGAAAAGAGGGTGAAGTATAAAATGAAGCAAATTGGGCCCATCCACATTTTTCTTTCATAGTTTTTCCCAAAAATAAAAAAAAAAAGAGAAAAAGAAAATCCAAAAAGATTTTACATTTTTCATTATTTTTCTAAAAGACAAAAGATATATTTTCTCCAAATCAGTTATTTTTTTACTTTTCTTCCGTATCCAATCTTCCCGAACTACGCATACATGAATCTCGTCTTTCGGGGCGGGATACGTATGCAGTCCACATAGGGTCCAGTCTTCCTAGTGAGTCTTAAGTTCTTGGCTTCGAGGGTCGTAGCCAAATCTTGCATGTCTTACCATTTTTGGCCACATTAGCTTTTTCGTAAAATATGGCTCTTTTTGCAAAGTGGCTTGTTGAATCGTGTTTGGAGAGTCTTGAATCCACAATTAGCTGTATCCTCATTTTAAGATCCGTCCTTTTTGAATTTGCATGCCTAACCACTTTTAGGCCGCATCAGCCGTTCTTGCAAAATGGGGCCATTTTCGCAAAAGTACTTTGTTAACCCATGTCTTAGAGTCCTAAGTCCACAACAAGGTGTCCTCTCTGTTTAAGGTCCATTCTATTAAATTTGCATGCTTAACCATTTTTTGGCCACATAGGCCATTTCTCCAAAATGGGTCATTTCTGCAAAGTAAATTTTCCATGTCTTAGAGGTCATCTTTGTTGAGTTTTCACTTCTAGCCATCTTTTGGCCACGTAGGCTATTTTGCACAATCATGTCTTGCATGTGTCCAATAGGAAGTGTTATTGTCTCACATAATATTCTAAGTCTTCAACTCTATTTGGTCTTATTTTTCTGTGGGTCTACTAACTAGAGCTTGAGCATGACAGACACCCCAGGACCATTCCAATCTGCGTCGTTGCATACCTAAGCTGCTTGAAGATACTTTTATGTTTTGAGTCTATCATTCATGTTGTCTTTTACTTTCTAATCTTGTACAGTAGTATCGAGTCTTTTAGGGGGTGTCGGAGTCTGTCATAGTCTAGTTGAGTTCGTCGAGTCTTTTGTTATCGTACTTCCTATTCTGTATGTGAAAACCAGAAAATTATTAATGAAAAATCCAAAAAGATTTTTGTTTTTAGTTTATTTTGTCCATTACTTTTCCAGAACTACGCTTGGTCTGATTCATGTGGAACATGATACATAGGCAACCTACATAGGGTTCGATCAAATCATTTATAAAATTAAAAAAAAGAGATTAGGTTGTGGGATGTGAAAAATGAGAGGAAACTGCGGGATGCAAGAAAAGAGCGATGATCAGAAAGAAAAGAGAGGGAAGAAAATGAAAAACCAAGGAGTGCTAGAAAGGAAAAAAAGAGGAAAAGAGCCAGGAGTGTAAAATTGGGATGATGCTAAGATGACCTTTATACCCTCGAAGTCATTTCAGAATCGATAATTGTGACTAGGTGCATTGTATATAATATGATAATACTTGCATTTAAATGCCCTAACGCTAACATGATGACATCATTTTGTT